TATTATGGCATTGAAAGCGAAGGCGTAAATCAACAATAATGAACTATTTTTAGGACTTTCCCACATGCTAACGTATGGCGGGATTTGGATCGCTTTGAAAGGAATTCATTATTTTTTTCAATCGCCCCCTCCCTCCCCTCTCCTTACTTTTGACTGTTGCTCACCCCGTTGGTGTGATTTATTTCTTGTCCCAGCTTTTATTTCTGTGAAAATTAAAGATGGCAGCTGAGATTTTTACTGAGAAGACACAGAGCACTCGTTTCCAATATTACGCCTGCTCTGTCGGCTAGAAAATTAGAAGAAGCTTTTTCTTTTCATTTTTTCCTTTACAAATTTTATTTCCATTGAGTTGCCAAGAAGTCTCCCATTACATAACTTGGTTAATCGAGATTGATAATTGATGTTACCTAAACAGCTAAGGCATAACAAAAATTAAAAGACATCAATTTTGCAACACTTAACAAAGTTTAGTGGGCAAATATTATGTTAGGGGACTATATATGATAAACAAAATGATACATGGTTGCTTGTAGATATGAATTTCTCTTCTCGTGTTCAACTCGACATCTACACGCGTGTTCAACTCGACATCTACACGCGTGTTCAACTCGACATCCGTCACTACGCGCGTCCATGTATTATTCTCTATTTATTTGCGTGTATTTGTGCTCGAACAGATTAGAGGTATCGAACAATACCCAAATCTATACCAATCACTGAGTACAGGATTAAAATTCTTCTAAAAGACGGTATCATAATATTAAGTCCTACGCGACTAATCGAGAGCATTAACAAGAATGCAATTTAAACCTTTAATAGGGCGAGCGAAGTTTAAATTTCAGATCTACAACAAATATGCGCTCTTGGTGAGTCTTTCCAAGTCCGTTCAATTTGGACATTTGTACCGTAAATTGGACAACAGAAACTGAAGGAATTCAATGAGAAAAGGCTGCATTAAATCCCCTTGTGTCTCGTTGGAGCGTATCAGTCGAATTTAGTTTTTGTAGAGGAAAGACCAGATTTACAACGCCATTGCAGCAAACAAACGAGAAAACTCTCAGAACTTCAAAATAAAAAATTTGAATTTACTTACAATTAATTTCCTCGCCGTTTACTTAATAAACAGAGGTAAATCTTCGTACGTGAATCAGTCGTCGATGAGAGTGAATAATACTTTTCCGTTCGATCATTGACTGTTTTTGAAGAAAACGTTGTCGTGACAGTCCTTGCCAAACCAGTTTCGTTGTTGTTTTTCAAAAGTGAGCACGCGCTTTTTTTCTCTTACGCGCTGTCTAATTGACAGGTGTCAGATTGTGACAGATACAGATAAAAATAATGTTTCAAAGTTTATTTGGAAGCCTTTTAAATCACTTTTATCGTTCAAATGAAAATGTTTCGGTGAAGCATCTCTCTTTCATTTGCATCACCTCTATTTCAACTACCATTTACTCGCTCAAAAATTGTTCAGTTTATGGAGGATCTTGCCGTATTTACAGCCCTAAATCATTCGGGTCCTTTTGGAGAGAATTTCGTTAAGTTAGTTAAAAAAAAAAATAGAAAAAAAAAATATATATATATATATGTTATTTACTGGCTGAGGGTCGGTCCGTATGGTGAAAAATTATATCGAGGTCACAGTTTTTCATCATACGGACCGACTCTTAGCCGGAAAATAACATATATTTCTTTGCTTTCCTCAAAATTTCGGTTCGTTGCAAAATCGTGCGTAGATGTCATTATAAGTCAAAGCGTCTATAACTGTCACGAATAATAGGATTACTCTTGCCCAAACGATCACCACATGCGATAAAAAATATAACCAACTCGTTAAATTGACAATATTGAGTGGTTGATACCAGGAGCAAAATTCACCTGCTTTTCTTTAAGCCCTACTGAAGATATCACTTTTTTAGCTTTTTTCTTTGACAGACTTCAAATGAGGGTTTTTCTTACATTTGTGGCGTAGAAAGTCGGCTCACATTTAGGACTCGAACAGAATCTGAGAAGTACATGATCAAGTTCGAACTTCTTCGAGGCCTCGGTTTTCAGAGCCTCTTTTTTCTGCAATTTCTTTGACTGTTACATAAAAAATCCAGATAATATATATGGCACATATTCTGGGTATCCTACACGACAAATTAAAATAATCTATCGTTTTCTAACGAACCATGAGGAATAAAGGCGGTTTTTTTCTTATTCCAGGTGCACTTTATAATCAAGGTTCTGTCTACACATACGCTTTACACTTATGTGGTGTTACGATGAAAAAAAAGATTGGTTTTTAAGGTGCACAGGAAGTTTCCAACTTTGGAACAAAAATATAAACTTCAAAATACAGGTAATGATGAGAGCTGAAACCGCCGAAGAACTCAACAAGACGAAACAGACATGTATTCGTCTTTTTTACGCACCAATACATAAAGGAAGAAATCTCCTTTTATTCTTTCATTCTAAGCGGGATCTTACTTGCCTCAACTAATTGCACGTGTGAGAAGGGAATCAGGAGACCGCCAAGGTTACCATTCTCCTAAGAATTTAACCCAACTTAATATTTGTCCCACGCTCTGGGAAATTAAATAGAGAGTATTCATAATATTATTTACTCGAAAAATGAGCTGAAAATTCACAATGCGTCAATCTAGATAATGTCTTATCCCTCAATTTTGACCCTAAAGAGTTAAAGAGATCACTCATAATGTACTGATATGTTTTTTTTTTTAATGCAAAAGACAGGAGACGGAGGTACGCAGACGGAGATAAGCTTAGCTTAAATTCGTTTCTTTCCAACGTCTTTGCTGTATTGAATTGACAAACGTAGCCCAAATTGACATTCTCAGTGTGTGCTATATTTATTCACGTAAGGGCCTATTTACACGGTACGACTTTGTCGCATGCGACAAAGTCGTGCCGTGTAAATAGGCCTTAAGACTCCCTTTTTACGCGTTGACGTGTTCAATAGACTATATACTTAACCACAAGTTAATCAGATTTTACTCATCTGGTTAAAGCGTGAAGCGCATAGGATCATTACCACGTGTCTCTTAAACCCGACTAATTTATTGTGATTTTAAATGGGACGAGAAGGGTTTTGCTAATTTTTGTTCTCCTGTGATTGGTTTCGTGTTTGAATTAGTTTTATTTCATTTTTGTCTTGGAGGAGCACTTAAGCTCCAGATGATTTGAAAATTTACATCATTCAACATATTGTGCTGCAGCTCGACTATTCAACCATAACGAGCAATTTCACCATACAGATGTATTTTCGGAAGGTCGCTTTAAAATTTAGAAGGTATTTGTAATAGTTTTATTTCATAATTTTTGGTTTTTGGTTTTAAAAATTGGTGCTTCTCCCACAGTTTTATTAAGCAAGGCGGCGATTCCGTCCCAAATTTACATTTTATTATCCTTTCTCTAAGAAGGTTGAGCTGAAGAGAGATTGTCTTATTCAAAACTAAAAAGGAAAGAAAACAACAACAACAACAACGAATTCAGGTTGGTTTGCCTGAATTACCATCGCTTGCCACATTGAAAAAGTTATCTTGCGTGTTTTAGGGTGGAAATTGTTTGGAAAAGAACTCGCTGGTGACCACGTACGTCAAGGCTTGATGTACGCGGTCACCGGCGCTTGATGTTCTTTTTTACCAGAATCAGCCCTCCTTCAGACTTTTTTTCACAAAGAGCACCAAAAAAGCGCACACGTATTCAGCTTTGAGGAAACATTCAAAGTGTGAAAATCTACTTTGCTGATCTGCAAAATATATGCCAAGAATGCGAGTGAGGAAAAATTATTCGTGAGTTAAACAGCACAATTTGATTACGACACTAATTATCAGCTTTGCTGAAGACGATATCATTGAAAAAATATATCTTCGTCTGATATATTCTGAAATAAGTTTCCATGATTCATGGAGAGTTTCGCTATTAGTTGTTTAGTTTTACCAGATGTGACTAAGACACTTTAGTCGATCACATGTTGTTCAAACAGGCCGTCTGCTGTGATTTTTTCTGGACACCCATTTCTAGTCAAGAGCGTATGTTTCTAAAGAAACTGTAGAACAACGTCGGTGTGGCGGTGTGGTACCGTGTTCAATTGAAAGCCTTTATCTGTGATCATCCTAACACCTCGAATTAATATACTTTCGAGAGACTTCAGGTTCGAAAGTCTAAATGGACTTCGCAAAATTTCTTTTCATCAGGAAATGCCGTCACGATACAAATAAACTGAGTCGTAACTCTTAATTTTCCAACCCTTCTTTGGAAGATCGGGCGGCGCTCAGGAAGTCTTAGTAAGCGCAGAGACGTATTAAGTTGTCAAAATGGCCGACAAAGGCGATACAGTTGTTTTTTGGCGGGCCGACCTCTGTCAATAACAAGTTCTGAAACAGTTTTTCTGATACCCCTTTTCATGTAAAAGTTGAGAAAGATCTCACTTCTACAAACCAACAAATTGTCCATTGTTCAAACTTCAAATAAGAATTGCGGGTTACTGCGACAAATTTCATCTCCACTGACCACTCCTAGAGTTTCGTGTATTTCAAGTTACTTTTTAATATACCCTAAATCCAAACGCTTGACTACACCACAAGTCGACCCATTGTCTTTGCCTGTAGTGGTGCTACCGAACTTATCTCTAGTTAGATAATTTAGTTTTATGAACTGAGTTGATAATGCAAAAACTTATCCTTTCATTCATCACCTTGGGAAATAATTGGATCGCACTAATAATTTCACCTGAACCTCCGCAAATGACATCTATTGTATAAACGTGGTAATTCAGTATTATGAACTGATAACGTAAATTGGCCACCGTATAGAGTTTCAAAGCTGACGTTTCGAGCGTTCGTGTGAGCGAAAGGCTCTGACGAACGCTCTCATTAAACTAATTCATTCATTTGTTTTTCACGTTACCAAGGTCCCACCAATAGCGTAGCTCCGATTTTTTCAATATAAACCGCACACAACCCATAATTCATCGATTCACTCTGATGAAAGGCTAACGCTCGAAACGTTACATTTATAGAATCTCTCTACGGAAGTCAATTTATAAAATCAACCCAGCTAGTAAAACCAAGGATTTTTGTGGCGAGGAAAAAATTAGGAATCCTAACGTCACTACAGGTGGACCGGTTTGTTTACAAGTACAGCTAAGCGAGTCATCTCCTTCAACAAACTCAACTTAAATTTACAGATATAAGGTACTTCATTTCAGACCACGGTGTGACTTTTCACAATAAGCTGGAAGGCCTCTTCATTTATCTTGGGTGTGATTTAGTTAATTTAATCAATCTAAGCCCCTTTTAATGTTTCTAAGAGCTAGGGTTTTTTTCTTCATTTGAATCACAATATTTTAAAAGCAGCGGGTTCGTCTATTACAACTAATGAAACATATCATACATGAAAGATAAATGATAAATGAAAAACTAACCTTACGTCTTAGCTGTACGGGTACTGTTCACATGATTTGAGAAAGGAAAAGCTGTAAAAGTAATTAGGCCTCCACAAAGCTTGAACAAATAACGCAGGTTTTCTTCCTGTCATATTGAAGCCATCGGGTGACAAAAAACAACGAAAATTACGATAAAAAACGAAATTAAACTGAAAAAATTGGATTGCCTTTAAACAACTCAGAGAGGAGAACTTCCTGTCATTTCCGCACTATGATGTATTGTTTCATTTAATTTTGTACTAAAACAGTCTTTCAATAAAGAAAGATGACTTATGATAGATAAAAAGTAATGAAGAATGATGGAGCTCTCTCAATAGATCGAACTCTCAGATCTTTTGTCACCTGTTTTAATGCTTTCAGCGTTGTACAGAGATTGCAAGATCCAACAGTTGCCAAGGCCTAAGACTGAATAGGAACCGACGGCAATTCTTAAAGCTCAGTCGAATAAACGTAACTCTCTAATTTTAAATTTCCTTTCCTGCTGTCACAACTGTTTTTAATGAGAACACAGGTAGAGCTAATTCAATTTGGCGCTGTGCGCTCACCACAAATTCAGTATTGCCAAACGCCTTCGACAACAGTGACAACAACAATAAAAGGGCAAACTTCAACATGGCGAACCTTAAAGCCTTGGAAAATAACCCAAGAGTTTTTGGGGTTATCTTCCAAAACCTTGTTGTCATGAATATATTACTTTTTTTAATAATCTTTTCTCTCATTTACTGCTCCATTTATTTACTTGTTCATTATTTTTCAGATCAGGAACTCGCACAGACATAAATTTCATTATGTCAACATCAGCTGCCTTCGCCATAACAGTCGTTTTTTTGATAATAACCTCTGTTAATATCATAGGAAACTCTTTGGTTTGCTGGATCATAAAGAAAAATCGTGATATGAGGTATGTTTTGCCTGTTCCAAGCAGGCTGTAAAATAGAGACTTAAACAGTCCGGACAACAACGCTGAAGAATTTCACAAATGATTGGATGTGTTTACCCTCTGTTACGGCGACACGCCTTAACTTCAGCATATAGAATGTGAGCAGCTTTGAGTCCCGTCGTGGTTTCTGTTCTGCGAGCACAGGACGAAATCTCACGTTTCCACATTTCTTAAACGTGAAAAAAACATCGAGTTTCATGTTTCCGTTACATTTACGTTTTGCGGAAACGTGTTATATCAAGTTTTGGCGATTCTATCAAGTTTCCATCATATTTCCAGAACGGAAATGTCAAGTCATGTTTCCGTCATATTTAAGTCAGGGCGTTTCCGCTGTTGTTCGTTTCCGTTATATTTCTGCAATGGATTTTTAATATCCTCGTTGAATCTTTGCGATGAAAAAAAACCGATCATGGTTTTGTGCATGGTTTTTACTATTTTGACGAAATTTAAACGTCAGGAAATTGCACTTATATATCAATGAAATATGATAAATATGGATTTTCAGAACAACTATCGTGAGAAAGTTTGTATATGAATTAGTAACTCCGGCTGCTGCTAATAAAATTGATATTATAACGCAACATGAAATCGCCACTTTACTCTTCTTCATTTCTTGCGTAAAAAACAAATTCCGTGTTCCGTAAGCATGCGTTGACGCAGAGACTGCGCGAAGACTCTATAATCGATATTAAAGGCGCGAGGGTACTCGCGTTACATCTACCCCCGGAAAATTAGTTGTTTTGTTTAGTAAGAACACTTCTGTTTTTAGAGATCCCCGAAAAATCTAGAAAGAACCCACCCTGAATCACGCACGAATATTATTTTGCTGAAAAAGCATGCCTCTTGCGAGGTCCGATTCTTTCTTCGACAAAACGAAAACAAATGACAAAAGGCTAGAATATATCTCGAATATCTTTATCCTCTCCACTGCAAAATAAATTTGGGCTTGAAGGAAAAAACAATAGAGAGGGCAGAAAAAAACAGCAAAAGATAAATGAATAAAAAATAAAAACAGACAAACACACGCCCTCTTGCGATCAATGCAATCCTGAGCTGAATTTCACCTGAATTTACGTATTTTCTCTTTCATTATTTCTACAGAACTCCCATAAATTATCTTATTGTTAATCTGGCGATATCAGACATCATGTACGCGGTATTCATGATACCCAAAAATATCATGACGCTAACTGGTGCCATCCATCCAGACGGTATGATCGGTCTATGTTTATGCAAATTTGTTACAAATGGAAACATTGCATGGATTGGAGGAGTGTCTTCGATAATCACACTGGTCGCTGTCGCATTTGAACGATATTATGCTGTTGTTTATCCCTTCAATAGCGAAAGAAACGTCACTACTCAAAAACTTAGAGTAAGTTATCAATAACTGAGTCTACACATACATAGCATTTCAGAATGAATGCAATCCTCCGCTTTGTGGCACTTATAAGAATTTTAGTCTTGTGTTTAATACAGTTGATAGTACGATTGACGTTGGGTATGAGAACTGATTGACTGTTATCAATTCTACACCCTCCTCCCTTTCCCCAACCCCCACACCCTCCCCCTTCCCTTCCCCCACACCCTCCCCCTTCCCTTCCCCCACACCCTCCCCCTTCCCTTCCCCCACACCCTCCCCCTTCCCTTCCCCCACACCCTCCCCCCCATCTCCACCCACTCTTCACTCGAGCGGTATATACAGGTAAATATCGGCAGTGCTCTTTTCGTATAAGCAATCTATCTTCACTCAATCCGCGAAAATTTAATTCAAGACGACAGAAAAAAAAGAGATATTTCCTTTGGTCGCAATTAAATGATTTAACCAAGCCCTCTACATACCCTCAATTAAATATTAACAGTTTCAATCTGCCGGGTTCATTTCTCTTATCGAAGTCGAAATCGAAGGGGTTTCATTGACCTGGAAACTTTATTATATACTATTAAAATCACGTATTCTCTTACCACGTGCACCATTCCTCCTCAGAATAAACTGATTTCAAATCATTGGTCAAGTATTTGTAGAGACGTCAATAATGGTTACTGGGCCTTTGTTTCAGGTGATTATCCCATGTGCTTGGCTTTTTTCGACGTTATTCATCTCGCCGCTCTTTTTCATAATTGAGGAAGAAGGACGATCTTGTGTGCGAAGCTGGCCCAAGAAGTGGATGTCAAAAGCGTACAACTTCGCATGGTCCACCTTGGTGTTTGTTTCCTTGTTGGTGATGATCGTGCTATACTCCAGGGTTATTTACGCATTGTGCTCCAATACTATCGATGGCAACGAAGCCACCCGCCAACAGCAAGTAAGTATTACTCCAATAGGGCCACTAAAGCATACGAAAAGATTATTCACTGTACAACAATTTTCAATTGTGTCGGTAGTTATTTGGAATTGCTTTACTTCGAAATGTGATTGGTCCAGAAAACTAGCGCCGCTTTCTCAATCAGTCAATTTCAAATCAAAAGCATAGTGACTTGGTCACTCACGTTTCCCGCGCTTTATGCAGTTTGCTTGCTTTTACTCTGAGTGCTCGTTGGCTCCTCGTGATGTTTTCCTTGTTTTGATTGGATGTTGTGATTGCTTTAGTTCTGGTTTTAAAGGATCACTCGAAAAACGTTCTACATACGTCATTCCATATGGTATAAAAAATACACAATCATTTATCAGATGAATTGAAGACGAGTAGTGAGCAATAGAAATCGGGTTAAACATTACTCCCAGGAACGACCGAAAAGAAATATATTAGACCCATTGCAAAGGGTGTGGGACCTACTCACTTTAAAAATAACACCAAAATCAACTCACCCAATAAAAGTACACAAACCTTCGGAAAAGACATGGGTTATCATTTGGTCGATTATCTTGGTAATAAGGCAAATATCGAAACCTCTCCACTGAAAGGGTACGTGCATTTTTGCGATCGAACCATAACAATTTGTAACTAAACCTCGGCAGGTGCTAAGGGTAAAACTATGGAGATCAAAAGATTCGCTTTATTATAGGGGGGTCTGCAGAGAAAGTTTAGAGCTTAAACTCTCTGGTTAAGTCATAATCTAGGATAAAATACGCGCCGTATTTTAATCGTTTTCAAAATCCTTTCATCTTACCGTGGTTGTTGCTAAGGTTTCAATGGTGAGCCCGCGCAAATAAGTCAGTGACCTGTAAGCGAACGTCTTTTAGCTCTGTCATCGCAAACGCAATGTAAAAACAAAACCAATGCAATTCCAGACGCCTCATCTCTAAATCACATTATTGCCATGGCGTAAGAGGGCTTGGTATCTTCTGATTTGCAGGGTGTGTTGAGAGTTCGTAAGCGGGTCACCTTGATGGTCATCATCGTCAGTGTCATCTTTGGAATCTGTTGGGCAACACTACAAGTTTGTTTTACCTTAATGGATGTTGCTTCCGTATCCATCGGCCCTCTTCCCTTTGACGTAGCTTTCACCATGGTCCTGTTCAACTCTGCTATTAATCCTTTTGTTTATGCCTTGCTAAACCAGCAGTTCAAGGAGAAGATGAAGGGCATGATCTGTGGCAACCATTCATTGTCCAGGATTCAGCCCTCGAATGAAATAGAGGGAAAAGTAAATACTGACAACACCACTAACACGAGCAAAACAAGCGAATCCAAATTCAAAGACTGATTCGAAGTGGACCTTTTATGTAAAGGAATATCCTTGAGACTTGAAAAAGGGTCCTTTTCATGGCATGGTATGGTCCCCTGAAAAGAGGACTGATTCATAATGGAGCTGTCATCTAGAAGAACGTCGTTAGGACTGGAAAAGAGTCCCTTGAATAGAGGTGAAACCTGAATAAATATGATAGCACTAGGGCTAAATTTTCTTTCCTTTCAATAGAATAGTAGGGTGAAAAGTGATCAGAGTCTTTAATATAATATTTCAGATCGGATACGAATATACTACACGCGCAGCGCGAAAAAAACGCAGTTATCGCTTTAGTATTGCATAGATATCAGTTCAATAACAGAATATAAGTTGCTAGAAAAAATATTGTCTTGGTGACACCTCAATAAATGTAACAGCAATAGGGGTAAAGTGTATATCCTTCAATGGCCTGGTCCTCAGAAAAGAGGATCGAGTCTTAGTGGAGTTCTCATCAAAGAGAAATAAATGACAGAAATGATAACCAAAAAGATCACACCAATCATCACTACCAATTTTAATAATCATTTATCACATAAAAAGAAATAACACGGGTTGTATCACAGTGCAATCTCGTGAGCCATATGCAGGCTTATTTCAAGTAAGGATTCATTGCAAATACTCAAGAAATCTTGTTCATCTACTTGAACTATTATGAATCTTGTTCTTAACTTTATTATTTAGCGTAAATTTTTTTTCAAATTCTTCTTGTCATTTTTATGATATTCAAAAAAATTTTCCAAACACAATAGATAATGAAATCCAGAAATTGGATATTACCAAAAAGTTTGTAATCACGAAATCACGATATTATAGTGGATTTTATGGCAATTTAAACAATCCTTCAAATAAACCTAACTATGAAACATTTTCATTTTTTTGCTAAGGTCGTTGCCATATTTTCTCAGTAGTGGGAAGGATGAGGATAGAAATAACTAAATGGATTTTAAACAGATGGATTAACACGCTATGTGTCTTTTCATTCGTCTCCATTTTTCTTGGCATTTGTTTTTATCAGCCAGTTTCTTACATCGCTTACTAGATATGTGGCGCCGGCTGAAGGGATCGCAGTCATTTCTGGGGAAGAGTTTGCCCCGTACACCGTCTAAATATTCAGCTAATCTACAATTGCCAGCTTTGTTTGTTGAATCCATTTAATGCTGTTATACAAGTTGAAATTCACTAAGTTCTAGAATAAACAGCATTTACTGGAACGCTTTTTCTTATTCTTCCGGTCTGCGACAAGTGAGCGACACTATCATCCGCTAACTCTTTGCTCGGTGGGTTCCTTATATGATGGATTCTGAATGGCGAGGAACGAGAGCAGCATGTTGTCCCTCTCATTTTTTGTCTGAATTGGTGATTTAACAACGCATACACAAACGGATTGACAGTGGAATTGAAAAGAATCAAAATGTCTGCAACTGTCACAACGATTGCTCCAAAGTCGCAGGATATCACGTTAATCATAAAATAGATAAATGAACTCGTCCCCCAGCAGATTCCAAAGATGACACTGACGGTTATCACAGTTAGAGTCACTCGTTTTCGTACTCTCAGCACACCCTTTAGATCAATAAATATCACATTAACATTAGAAAGTAAATATCGATATCTTATCTCGTGAAATTATATAGTAACTGGGTGAGATGTGGTGTACTAGAAAAACTGATCGAGAGGTTTCGGGTTTAAGTCATGGCGGGGTCGTTCTGTTGTGTACCTAAACAAGACATTCGGGTGAGATGGCACCCGGAGTGTTTCTTCCCACCTCGAATTATGAAAGAGACATGTGCCAGAAAACTGTCATGGAGACTGCGGAGAGGGGTGTATTTGTGGAGGACAAGCCTTAGGGGATAATCTTAGGAGAAGTGATCACTTCTTGTCGCTTCATGCCGATGAAACCAGGGTAAGTATCGGTAGAAATGATTCGGTTTTATCAACTGGGTTTATAATGTGAATTGACCCCGCCCTCCCCCACCCCCACCCCTTCCCACCGACGCTGCACCACAGTTCCTTTCAGAACATTTAGTAAACCTGGCCGTACCTTTTGTTTGCTGCTGAACTGACTGTCCCCACCACAATTTTTGAACCACAAAAGGTGCACGACTCTGTAGTATAGGCCAATCATTATCAATAAGGGAACAACTGTCAAGACGAGCCAAGCCGTTTCCCGAGCCTTAATAATCCACTCCTCCGGATAGCTTAGAAAGCACTGTTGGCTTTTATCATCAAAGGACCTGACCAAGAACACCGGCAAATTGAAGATTGAAGAGAATATCCACGAAATAGCAATGATCACCTAAAGAAAAATCATAAAGTTTAGCCATTTCATTTTTATCGCTATCACAACATATGCGCGAGATGTCGAGAGATTAAGCGAAAGAAGCCGCGTACTGATCATATCTGAGCGCGAGCCCGGAAAACAGAGCCGGAAAGTCAAAGAGATGGAGGTGGATGAAACACCTGGAAACAAAAAGTGATTTTACGATTTTTAAGTTATTTGGATGGCACTTTTCAAGAGGAGCAAGCTAAGCAGGACATTATTTTTATAGTTTTATATATATTGCGTTAGTTTCAATTTTCTTTTTTAATCATTGAGAATTTTAGCTATGTTTAAGTATAATATAATAAGATATGGCTGGCTTTATGTTTAAGCTATGTTTAAGTATCATATAGTAGGATATGGTTGTAAATTGGTAAATTTTTAATTAATAACGTATGATTTTGTATGATTGTAAGCGCCTTGAGCAGAGGATACGAGTGCTACATAAATAAAGGTATTGTTATAGTTATTATTTTCATGATATTTTTCCCGAAAATTAGGTACCACAATCAATAGAATATAAACTTGCCATAATACACATAAGGAATAATTTTTTTCCATTTTTGTTTTTCTTTCCTCTGTCATTTTTCTGTTGGTTTTCTTTTCATACCTGCTATGTAACCTCTCTGAGTAGTAACGGACAAAAATAAGAGAACTGATCAAGGGACAATATTCAAGTTCCACTCAGGTTAACAGGCTAACTACACTGTTAACAGACCTTAAGTCTACGCCTGGTGAGTTTTCCTTTTTTGTTAAATAGATACATGACCGAATAATATCGCTCAACCGAGATGGCAACCAGGGTAACAATCGAGGAAGCGCTTCCAACCCACGCAAGATTTCCACCTGTCACCAATTTGCACAGGTATATCCCTGTCAGCCCGTCAGGGTGGGAGACAGTCAATTTGACAAGAAATTTTGGTGCTATGAACACCGCGTACAAGATGTCTGCTACAGCCAGGTTGACAAGTAGATAATTCAAGGATATTCTGTGGGATTGAAAAAAAAAAAAAGAAAAGAAAAGAAAAATGAGAATGAAAACAAAACTGAACAACCAACCCGCGGTATCGAGCAATTCCCGTTGAACACAGCAGTCAAACGTCTGCGTATATGCGAATGTTTTGATGAATAGGCGGTGTACTTTCACGCTGTTAGAATCATGTTATCTAATACGAGCAACAAACAACCACACAAGCCAGTAAGGCACGGAGCTTTGGGAAAGGTATAACTATTTTCAGTAAAGCTCAAAACACAATGATAAATCAACCTAATACCCGTACTTGAATATGCTTTGTGTTCATGAATTCTGAGTTTTCCTTGTAGTACCCCCCCCCGCCCAGCACCACAGTTTACCTCCCCCCCCGCCCAGCACCACAGTTTACCCCCCCTCCCCCCCCTCCCCCCGTCCAGCGCCACAGCTTCCTCAGCGGAAACTGGGAAACTGACCCTCCTGACACATAAAAACAGGTCGACGATGAAAATCATCCATTTTGCAAATTTTAGTCAAGAGTACTTAATTCCTATTCTCAAACGCCTCTTGTATCCGACATACCTCATATTTCGGTTCTTTTTTATGATCCAGCAAACAAGTGAGTTTCCTATCACATTTGTAACGACTAAAATAAATGATATTGTCGTTACGGCAGCTGAGGTCGATTCAGACATGGTGGAGAGATCGTATTAAGACGCGCTATCTGCAAAAAAGTAAACGGAAGGGAACAAATGAATAGCTAAATATATACCTGATGTTAACTACCAGGTGAGAATCTAACTGCACACGTCAAATAAAAATAAAAATCACACAAAAATGATCAGTGTTTTCAGTATTTGTGTTTATTTTAGGTAAGTTTAGCACAGGCTGAGTGCATAGACTTTGAAAGGACCAACGTGGTTAACTATGGCCAATAGCGGGCGAGTTCCGCTCTAACGTCATTCTCTATACCATGCACCTATGTGACTCTCCTGTGACAAAATTTCTGAATGTCGCTGTGAGATGGGACTGCGGCACGAGGGATTCTTCCCTCGCGAGAAAGTTGAAGCCTCGCGAAACGCTGGCCGGTGAGGGCGCAAATAGATCACCACTGATCACGAGCCAAACCCCTTGCAAACCTTTCGCCGGCGCTACTGAGGATCCGAGTTCAATGATTATAGAAAACTTCATTGGTCGAAAACGCAGTATAATTGGATCCGTTTCATGGCCTTTCTAAGGATAAATTAGTGGAAATTCTGAATTATGTGATGCAGGACGCGTTCAATTTTGGTCGGTTTCATTTTCACGGTCCGGTTTTGCTTCAAATGTTTCTCAGTTTTAGTTGAGCTGGTGTGTGTTTATTTGCTCTGGCTGCAACTGCAAATCTTACTGTCTCCTCGATATCGAACGAGCGGGTACACAACATTGCGCTGGTTTTTCTGCATGTTTCATTAAAGTGAATTGTAAAAGGTTTTCAAGTTCCTAGCACGCTCGCTCTTACCTTTTTATAGTGAACTTGTTGTGCGATGATCAGCAAGGCACCTGTTCTGTGTCGATTTAAATGGCCTAGTCCTTTCAAAACCTAAAAAGCCCTCGCTTAATTAAAAATTATAGGTATATCCATATTAATGAGGAAGTTGCTTGAACTGGAGACAGATGACTGGTCATGTTTTATGATCTTTCTCTAATATTGGGTATGTTCATTACTTTCCGAGCCGTGGTGTTTGAAATTGAAATTTACTCGATGAATTAGTTTCGGTTATCATCAATATTCTTTGCGTAGTTCATGTTGGTGCAATTCATATTTTCAGATTCGCTTCGAATTGATTATCACGTATGAGAGGCAGACAGAGGCTTGTCTCCAGGAACCATTAAACTATGCTTAAATTTCAGGACAGGTGTCTCAGGCCCAAAGCAGCAAGAATAAGTAGTGAGAGCTAATTGACGCCTGTGCGTCAAACACATTGCAAAATACACTAGGAAGTTACATTTCGCTCAGTTCATCTGGATTAACACCGATATTTGTCTAAGGAAGTTGAGTTTTAAAGGAACCTATATTTTGAGAACGAATATCAAAACCAGAAAATAAGAGACAAGAAATTTTTCAGTGTTCGATCCCAACATCGAACCAGAAACTATTAAATAACAACATGAACATGTTGCCTGTTTCAGTTATTTTTCTCCAATTAAAGCGCATATGGTAGTCACTGCTATGAAATGAAGTGGAAGTTTATTCAGCGACTCGTTGAATAAACTGTGCGCGTGGATGTGGTTTTTTTTCTTAATTTTTTTCTTAGCGAATTCACATCGCTGCTTTTCCCGCAAAGTCGGGGAAACAAGAAATGATGATCATTTCTTGTTTTCCCCCACTTTGCGGGAAAAGGAGCAATGTGGATTCGCTAAGAAAAAAAAATGATAAAAAAAACCACATCCACGCGCACACAGCCATGCACATAATAATGAAACTCTTATATTCAATACTAGAGAACTTAAGAAATAAGAAAATATGTCTAATTTTGACTAAGGCCCTACCAAAGATTTATTTGAAGTTCTTACGGAAAAAAGGAATATTAAACTAAAATTTAGTATATGATTGTTTAATATGACAGATAATATTCTCTCGACCTTGAAATCGCTGCTAAAAATGCTTCTTAAAATATTGAGTACTTTTTATCAGAGCGACCTCATAAGTTTTAATGCTACGGTCTGTCTCACGTCTCAACTCCGTTTTATGCGCTCGAAAAATTTCTTGCAAAGTCGGGCTAAACCGTTGGCGTGTTCGTCGATACCTTTGAAGTGAATTTCTTGTTCGTTAATTATCACATGCAGACTATATATATGCTGTAGTACACTGATATTTTCCTTCGTTCTTCCATCTAAGGAATTAGTACTCAGCTGAATTGTGACATCCTCGTTTAAAGATTCCTTATACAACTGATTCAGGTTGATTCCAAAGAAATAATTGTAATCTCCGTTAAAATTCAGGCGCTGACAACGATATTTTTTTTTTAACAGAGTCAGTTTGTCTTCTTCACTGATATTTTTTTCAGTTTAGGCTTCTTTTCACTCTGTTACTAGAGGGAGGACTCGGCTGAGGGTTGACGATTGATTTTTTGCAATTTTGACGGTTGACAGTGATATTTTAGTGTATTCAACGATTAATGGTTATTTGGGAGATATTTTTCTCTGTCACAACACGTCTCACCGTTTTAGTTGCTTCTCCGTCTCCGGACAAAGTTATAGCAGCTTCGAGTAGAGTTTTTTTGTGGGTAGTTATTATCATTCGTTCTGTCGCTCTTTGCAATAAAATTGTCACTCTGTGTAAGACCCGTCGCATTTGGTGATAAAAAAACTCGTCAACATCACCATAAACTAGAGCGACAAGTGGCACGGTCAGGAATAAGCTATCAATGCGGAAAGCTAGTTTTGAATATCGAAATATGAATTTAATATTAAAATATTTTCAAACCGTCAGTTTAGGCAGAAATCAAAAGAAATGGCTAAAAAGTGAACAATTTTGACACTGAGAGACTAGTTTACAACTCCAAAGATGCTTTCGAGATCTGAAACTGACAAACTGTTCATAGCACGCCCGCGCGCTAGAAGAGGTTGAAAGAGATCTGAAAGACTTTTAAGGCGTTTGACGGCTATTCTTGAGCTGCTCTTTTGATGATCGCCTGTAAAAATTTATCCTTTTTGACGGCTGACGATTAAATGTTTTAGGCAGATTGACGGGTTATGATTAAATTCCACTTCAAGCCGTGACTAGCTAGTGTTTTGTTAATATTATGTTGTAGTTTACTGTTGTCATTAGCAGTCGCGTCCCACTTCTTCGTACAAAGTTACCTTGCCAAATTTTAAGGATCTTAATGCACTTACTAAACTTGATTCCCAAGAAATAATTTCATGCTCTGTGAAAATTTAAGGATTGACGACATCATTGGTTTCTGTCTGTCCCAATGTTTGTTTTTATCATTGTGATCAGTTGTAGACTGCTGCTCACACTGTTAGTCAACTCTTTACTGGGCAAAGAATGAACAGATATTAACAACCTTCTAACAAACTGTCTTTAAACTGAAGCAGAAATGCAACTTGGTTCATTCAACCTCGCACCAAATTAGAATGGAGAAAAAATCAGTCACATGTCATCATATCAATCATTCACAGATGTTTGTAAAAAGCCTACACTGTAAGAGCGCCACCTTACCTTTAAAAATTTAACTCATGGAAAACTACTGAGACAGCGATCATTAATTAAAAGAAATTCCAGACGATAAATCTTGAAAAGTGCGATGCACGTAGAAGTTCCCTCTCGGCATCGTGAAAAGCTTTGACAAATGTCCGTGGTGTTTATTTGAAACATCATGGAAAATTATCGCTTTTTATTTGTCATTGTAGCAGTACGTGACTTTCCTACAGTTAATTGACTCAGATATCCTCATTAATTTGTTCTCGTATCCTGAAAAATACATCATTTGCATGAAATAGTCTAATGCATTTGCCAATATTGGCTGAAGATGCTTGGAATGTGTAAGATTTCTTATCCTGAAAGCAGTAAGACCAACGGCTTTAGGAAGTTCAAGATCACTAACCTTCAGTCCGTACACATAATTAGAGAGGGTTTTGAAGTAAACTTTGACGCGCGTGTGCTGCCGAATGCGTATGGTCTGAAACATTACAGATCTTATCTTACCAGCACTTTCTTTTCATCCCACGAACGGGTGGATATTTTTAAGAAAAGATAACGCATAAAAGATAAGATTACTCTACAATGACGTAATTCGGAAAAATTTTGAAGATGTTTCGAAAACAGAAAAAACACCTTAACTACAGCGTAGTAACTTCTTTGTTGTTACGGATTCGTTTCAAATGCCCTCTCAATTATTCCTAATGAAATAAGCATGCTCCCGATCTGAATTTTTTCAATTAATATTGCGGTTTCTCCCGTTAAATCTACCATTTTAAAATTTGAAAGACACAACGGACCGCACCTTCTTTCGCCTCGTCATTCTCAACATTTTTTTTTTTTTTGCATGTTACCTCATTATCTCCTGTGGGTTTGTGCACCACAGGATCTTTGAAAGGGGCGGTCTTTCACGGACTTGATTTATCGTTAACTTCCTAGTCAATTTTTTTCTATCGTCAAAGTAGAAAGCGTGATAAGTGCCTGTGTAATTGCTAATAGCTCTTTCGATACATCGAATTCGCCCTTTGTTCTTTTCCTTGACGTCATGATTTAAAGGTAAGTTTGAAAAAGCTTTTTTTCGCACGTAATTTATCTAGGTATTAAGTTTCTGTTTTCAATCACAAATACGCATAAAAAACATGGACTTTCGCTACGTTCCGTAAAAGTCTGGACAGAAAATTGTAAAACTTAATTTAATATACCAAATTCACTTTAGCTTCAATTAACGAGACGAATGTGATCGTCTGGAAATAATTAAGTGCATTTGATTTATCATAAATTCATAAAATTTTGACAACCATCTTTACATTAGATTTGTTTCAATTTAATGACAGGAATGGGAGACTTCAAAGAGTCAAACTGAACAAAGTTGCATAGTTTGTTGGATAACGACCAAACCAGTGAGGTGTCTTAGATAAGACCCCAAATTCTCAGCATCTCACTGACTTTAACGAAGTTACTATGTTCTACATATCAATTCTCCGCACTGTCTATCACAAGTTTCTTACAACTTCAGCTTTAAGTAGTTAGAGCAAAATAAAAAATTATTCCGTGTTACCATTTTCTTCGAATCACCTTCATGCTGAACATTGAAATGATATTGCAAGAATAAATTACTTATTGCTCACTCCTGAGAGTGAAAGGATTGTTGGCAAAATTACAATTTACATTTAAGCAAACCTTGCATAATCTATGAGGTAAGAAAGGTTTTTTTTTCCCTTGAGCTAATAAGTTGAAAAGACAACAGGAATGAGAAAATTGAGAAATTCAGCTGGATCTCATCTCACAGCTTCACCAGTCACATTTGATCCTGCATTTTAATCCCTTCCTCAAAAGTGATTAACATGTAACTTCTGATAATATCCACACAAAATCCAGCCAACTGGTAATGAGAAACTTAAACTTAACAGGTAAGAGTTGTTATCTACATCAAACACCAAATTCTCCAAACCAATCCACAAGGAATTGTGTAGCAGCTAGAGGGGAGAATTAACAACCAGATCTTGGGAGTTAAATGCCACTAATCTTCCAGCTATCCAGTTTGGTTTATGCCCAGAAAAAATTAAACCCTTTATCTCCCTCAAGTGATTAACATGTACCTTCTTCCTATAACATTCATAAATCATCTAGCAAACAGGTGATAAGAATACTTAAACTCATCAAGTAAAGTTGTTATCTTGATCTAACACCAAATTCTCATCACTTATCTACAAGGAAGTGTGTAGCAGCTGGACGGGAGAAGTGACAAAAACATCTAGGTCGTTAAAGGGTTAACTAACACTGAATATCATATGTTCCTTCCTTATATCCCAAACCACCAATTTCTGTTGCTTCTTCACTCAAAGAAATAGTTTCTCAAGAACCTCAAAATGAGGTTCTTTACATTAAGCAGTCTAGATAATGGCAGTGGTCATTTCTCCTTTTTCCTTCTTTTAGTAGGTGGTTGTGAGTCCTCTATAAAGTGAGATTTTTCAGGTAGTGATGTATAGAGTGGAAGAGCTATTGAGTCTGATGTTTTGAGGTTTAAGGATTGAATGTTATTCCATCCTCTTGGGACAATCTTGGTGATTTCGCTGACAGCACTGACAACATTCTCTACAGCTTGTTCAATTGATTGTCCAGTATGGCTCACCTTAATTGCACTGCAAAGCAATGATTATGTATTTTAGTTTCTTCATTTTACGAGAGAAAACCTGCACAATGGAACAACAACAATGGGCAACTGGTGTTGATGGAATATATTAAGTAAGAGCTTTCTAACAATGTGGGAATTAATAATTACCACACAGACAACCCCTTGGAGTTCTGAAAAAACTCATCTAGTTTAGAGTAGAATTGTCTACACCTCTTACGAACCAAGTTTTAAGTCTATACTGTGGGTTAT